AGGAAGGGAAGGGCCCTCCCTCCCTGTACATGGTGGCAGTTCGGTGTTAGCATGATCGCCCTGCCAAGACGGACCTCGCCAGAGGCTTCGCGATCCAGCCAATAGCGCGTGACTAAGGTCCCATGGGCAGTCAATTGTAGCCGCTGTTATTGCATTTCTAAAAGTTTCACAACAGCTGTTGGGAGACAAGCTGTGTGGAAAATCCCACGTAGGAGGAGCACTTAAACGTGTCGGCAAATCAGTTTATTGATAATCACATCAAAACAGAAGTGACACACGCGAATCTACAAGGTTATATGTATGTATGTCGAACTGCGGGGGAAGGACAACAACATAAACATAAAAATCATTTCTAAAGAAATTAGTTTTCAGTCTAGATTTGAAAGTGCATAGCTCCAATGGCTTCCTAATATCGGAAAGAAGAGCATTCCAGACGGAGGCAGAAGCGCATCTGAAAGTGTGCGTGGCAGTGATTGCCTTTGTTCGATGGCCAGCCAAAAGCTCCTGGCGGGGACGACTGGAGTTCGCGTCATGGTTTATGAGCCTTGTGGAGATAAGCAAGGTATTGTGGTTCATTTGTGGAAAGCACTTTGTGTGTAATGAGTGTGACTTTGAAACAGCCAGCCGCAGACACCTCTTAAGAGGAAATTTAACTAAATGCAGGTGGGATCAAATTGGAGAACATTTGAGTGGTAGAAAACTCATTAAACTTTAAAGTACTTAAATTAAGTAACGACGTTTCCAGAAATGTAAAGATAAAGGGGCATAGCAGAATGTGGAAAGCCTGCCATTTCCACAATTGTGAAAGGTTTGGTACGAAATGAAATGTGTACTAAACATTGTGTATGTGGTAGAATCATGGACAAGAGCAAAAGTGAAAAGCTTTTAGTGGAAATGAGGCTTCTGAGGAATACGGTGGGAAAACAAGTTGCAGATACAGAATGTAGTTTATCAAGAGCTTGGAGTGGAGAAACTGGAGCCAAAACGGAATGGACAAGATTGGACGCAATAGATGGACGGGGAAACATCACCAAGATGGGGTTTGTGAAATGAGAACAGGGAACACACCTAGAGGAAGGCCATAGAATAGATGGAAGTTGTAAGAAGATAATTGAACGAGAATACACCATAGATATTCCACAAGAGACACACATGGAGATGGGTGGAGGAACAAGATGATGGAAAGTGGTAAATTAAAAATTGATAAAAACACGAGGCAACTGCAACTGGAAGGATTTCAATTTGCTCTAAAAAGTCTGCTGCGAGCAGTGTTACGACTAACAAACTAACCTCCCTGCCCCAGCCTAGCAAAAAAGCGAGTCTACAAAATGAACAAACTCAAAGCAACCTTACGATGTATGCGCAAGATGCATCAATGCACGAGTTCTGAGCGCGTAACCCTGTTGGGTGAAGCAATAAATAAAGGACCGCTTTGGTGCACGTGTTGCAGAGGTAGAGTTCAAAAGTGGGATGGTGGGATTGGCCAAGCCATTTGCGTGCGTATTTGCCACTTGTTGCAGAGGTTCACGAGTTAACGCCCAGCGGCTGCCCCGTTTAACATCGTGGATGTATATTCTTGGTTCTTGAAATGAATGTGAATTCCTGCAGTCACGAAAGCTTTAAGTCAAGATCGTGGATGTATTTGTGGGGGCCGACGTCCGCCCCTTCCACTCCCTCCTCCACCGCGTCAGTCGGCTCCTGCTGGGCCCCCACCGACTGAGTGACCGGGCCCCCCGCGCTATCGCCCTCTCTGAGGGACATAGCTGAACCGCTGGCTTACCACCGCACAGAGTTAATCCCCCGCACCCGCGCACACCACCGCTAACGCAGCGGACAGTGGCACACTTGCTCCCACACCTGCGAGAAATGATCTCAACGAGCGCTCGTGCTGCAGCTCCGCCCTCACTCTCGTCCACACAGGAATCACAGACACCCCACCGATGCTCTGTACTAACTTTTATTCGTGGCGCAAACTCCGCCCTGCCCGAAGGGAATATCCTACGAGCAGAGCCTCGTCTATGGCTACCCAAGTCCCCAAATGCTCACACGCCCTATCACGGACCTCGCGGCTGTACTCACGGCATCGCACAGACACTGCGAGAATCGGAGGGAAGAGGACGAAAAAAACCTTGCCCATCACTGCCTCGTAGCAGCACTCGCTGATATCACACGGATGCTGCGAGCGGCTCGAGAAGGCAGGACGGCAGGGTGGTGGGTCTTGGCGGCCCAGATGTTGAGGAAAGATCTCCCCTCAACGGTTTCAGGCTCCCCTTTTTATGCCCCCTTACTTCAAAAATCCAGAGTTACGTTATCCCGCGCGGCCAATAGTGCACCTACCTGTGATTCTCACTCGTTTCCCTTCCCTTACACGAAGCGTTGCGACAGTTACTTCCGCGACCGATTGTCTATGCACCCGTACTCGTTAATTTCTGACAACCTGTTTAATCTGGAAGGACGTCCAGCTGGCGAATACACACCCTGCTAGTGTGTATTCGGTCTGGGGCCGGGGGAGGTCGTGGCGCTGCGATCCCCTGACCTCATGGTCTGCTCTGCTCGCTTAATATTTCACCCGGGCCCACTCCCCGATGTCGTGTTTGACTCATTGCGGCTGGCCCGGTGAACCTTTGTGCACCCATACAACATTAAGCCAACTCAGGAGCAACGCAATGTGACTTGTCCTGCGAGGGTCGGCCAATCTCCTGGCACCGGGAAACCGGGGGACTTTCCTCCTTAGGGACCCTTCGGATGAAAACCCGTTGTGCCAGGCAATCCCCCGCCAGGACACTACGTGTGTGCGCTGCGTGTGTGTGCTCAGTGTGGGGCCAGAGGGGAGTCGCGGCACTTGCGGAGTTGCTCCCAGGCCGTGGCACCACATATTCGCTCTCCCTCAGAGTGGACGTTAAATGATCTCCGTAAAGCTATTCCTAAAAGAGCAGGCCATCTGTGCCAGTGGTACAAATTGGATACTACTCGCACGTGACCGAATTTAATAAAAGCCACGAAAGCAAAATAAGCCAACGAAACACAGTACCGCCCGTTGCGACAGCCTAAGATTGGCACAAGTAACAAATGTCCAGATTCTTCTATTTTATGGGGCACACTGAAACGAGTGTTTCGATTGTACTGTACTGAATGTGGATGACCTGCAGCAACTAGCAGGCGATGCCGTCTTCCAAACTGGCTAGCCGCTCACGGGTGAATGTTTATGAAATGAGCGATTTGTGGCATACACGGACTATCTGGCGTTAAGTGTACAGGGTGGTTCAACTGGCTTGTGACCCCCCCCCCCCCCCCATTATTTTCCCCTTTGGTAATTTGTTTTTACACCCATTGGCATGTAAAAAAAAAATTTGGTTTTAGCAAAGGCCGTAATTATATATATATTGGAGGGGTACACATCCCCCCAATATTCAAATATGCTCAAAATGTCCCCCCCAATATATTGCTATAAAATAGATTTCTGTTTATATGATTGTGGTTATACTTTATTAATCCCGAATCTCTGCCATTACATACAATTAAACAAAAGGTAAAAAAGAAAAGAAAAAACAGAGCAATGTAATACAATACACTATTAGACATTGTAACACGTAAATAAAAGTCCATCCTATGTGTTCGTGAATTTTTTTTATATTTTTGGCAGGAAATTCGTTTTCAAATTAGTATTTTTATGGGGGGGGGGGGGATCCCCTGGAAGATTTGGTCTCCCCGAATGTTGACTCCATGTCTACGGCCTTGCGTTTCAGAGAATTAAATGTGGGGGGCACAAGACATCTGGACCACCCTGTATATGGTGGTCTGCTGCGTTTGGTATCGTACAATCTACGTGGACTAAACATGGATACTTCTAAAGAAACAATTTTAAAATGTATATGGAGGGTCCTGTCCATCATACTTAAAATTTTGCAAAAGCACAAACGCTTGGTGTTTTCTCATGTTTGCGATGTTAAATTCACATCAACACTTGCAATCTTCACACGCCACATGTTGCCTTCTTACTCGGATGCCATTTTGTTGGTGGGTACCCATCTGACATCTAGTGGTTAAAAACAATCCTTTATAAATGGAATATAACCACAGTTCAAACTGTTCATTCTTTAATGTTTAAGTTCATGAACACCCCGTGTATGCGTATATATTTGGAATTGCTCAGTTACCTTTTAAGTTCATTGCGAGTGTACCACACATCACTACACGAGCAGAATGTTTATAAATCCACGTACACGTGACACAAAATGAAGTTACCCAACGGGATGTTGTGTTTAATTCCCTATTGCTATGTCGGTGTTCTAGTCACTGGAAAAAAGATGCCAAAATGTATTTTAAGTGTCCTTTAGGGTTCAAGAATAAGGGAATACAGCAATTTTTAGTACACACGATTAAACAGCGTGGCCACAATGCTCAATCCCAAAAGATTAGGGCAAACACCTCTGTGGTGGATTTCCCGAGGCCGAGCATATCAAATGTATGAAGCTTATCGACAGCAACTGTGCTTTAAACGCAGCCACTGCTATCGCCTCTTGGCAGCTATGTGAATGTTCAGCTTTAATGTGTTGACATTCCTTTAAAAATACAAGTTTAACAACACTGCACTTATTTTGGGCTCAATAATCCCGAGTGTTACTCCATCCAGCAAGTTTTTAAGTACAAATTCCTTCTGGCTGTCAAGCAAGCTACATCATTTAGGTTCTAGGAAACAAGTTTGTTTCCACACAAACACAAGGAATGAGCACAACTTGAGCTTGCGGTGGTCGTTCATGAAACGAATGGTGCAAAGTGTTTTGCGCTGCACAACACGCAAGCTCCGCGCAGCATGAACCATAATGGTTCGTTCGCATACTCCATGAAATGTTTTGCACGCCATTGTTCCGTCAATTTTATGGCAGCTTTCCCACCCACTGCCCGACCAAAACATTCACCCCCCGCAAATCATCCTGCACCCCCCTCAGCATTGTTAGCATTCACTCGTACACAAACTCACTTCGTTTTAGCACGCCACATTTCCAAATTGTAGAAGCAGTTTATTTTTTGAAGTTGCATCCTAACAGGGGGGGGCCAATACATTTCGAAACTATTTCGTTTGAGGTTGAAAACTTAAAAGAGAATGCAGCGTAACCAATACAGCTGTCGAGCGATATTTTTTTAAGGCAGGGCTTTTAATTCCTAAACACACTACCGTGACAGACCAAAAAAGCACGTCAAAAGCAGCATTGTTTAAAAGCGACTTTATGCGATTACGTTTTTCCTACTGGAAATTGCCACTGAAATAAAGTCTATTTAAAATGGGTGAATGACGGTTAAAATGCAGTAGAACCTCATCACAACGCCATTGTGAAATTAGTACATTTTCACCACACCAAGTGTCTTAATTTACATAATTTGCTAATCAGGGTGGCGAGAAAACATATTCACAATGAATAAGATGCTTACTGATTCCATAATGAAGCTCTACTGTAACCTCAATTACAGTGCTTAAAGCATCTTCAAAACCAGTTGCTATGTTTAAAATCCACTGCTTCTTAGCACTGTAGCCAAAAACCCACTGTTAAAGTTAATCAAATTATAAAGTCCATGCAAACCTTCAAATTCCATTCCATTTGCATTCATATCATCCATCATTTAATGCCAGAATTTTAAAGACACTGTATATTATTCGAATATAATCTCAATACAGCTGCAGCACTTTCAAGCTACTTGTTTTTTTTAATAACTATAACTACCTGTACTCACATTGAATAATAAAGCATGGAGTCAGAAGCAGTCTCCAAGCGATGTGCAGCAATGAATTGGCTTGCCCTGACTGTTCATTTATTGTTTCTCGATTTTTCTCTTTTTCCTTTTTCTCTTTTTTTAAATTTTCCCCCTGTTATATTTGGCCATTGAAATGTTGGCGCAAAAAAACTCCAGCTCTCAATCTTCGTCTTCATCCTCTCCTTCTACCGTCAGAGCTGCAAACTTACTAGTTGATGAGAAAACCTGTGAAAAAATATTTTAAAAAAGATTAAGAGTCAAGGAATAAAAACTAAAAATTATGGCACATTTTGGTTCAGACCACGTCTTTTCACAATCGTAAAGAGTGAATATTTTAAGTATCGCGTTGCTGCTTCAGGGAATGTATGTATGGAATAGCAATTAAAAATAGCTTTTTTTTGTCAGAGGGCAAAAATATTTCGAACATTGGATGAATGGCCTTAAGAAAAGAGAAACATTCAAAGCTTATTTTTATCATGGTAGCCAGTGATAAGGGCAAAATGTTTCAAGTATAATAAAATCACCTGACTAAATGTTGACTGAAATAACTATGAATATTTACCAGTTACAACAGATCACATCCCATTTCAAAACCAACACAAAAGATGAATGCCTTCTACCACTCCGCTCTGAAAAATGTGGCGAGCAGGCAAATTATGAATGATGTCGGGGACTTGGTTCTCATTTTGGGGAAAGATTTTCATCACCCACGGTTAAATGAAAAAGCATCACTATTCCTACAAATGTTTTTTTCCTAAAAGTGTGGAAGATGCATTTTAGTAAAACGCTGGATAAGGCCTTAGACTTTTGCTTTTACAATGCATTTTTGCTCAAGTCTGACAAAAAAAATCCATTGTAAAATAGGACACAATATTAATTTTTTCTCCAACACATGGACAAAAATGACTATCTGAAGCAAACAAAAAAAAAAGTATAGATATAGATGATGCACTTGGAATACGTTAAAAGTATTTTGAGCAGTCACGTGGCAAAAATTACAAGTTTACATTTTGACCATTTCTGAAAAAATCCCTTGCCAAGCCATTTGTCCTGTCGAATCTGCTCCCAGTTCAAGAAAAGTCGCAACACCATTTTCATCTTTCTTTGACTGACCGTCATCTCCTCTCTATAAGAAAAATACGGTGACTGTTCTGTAAAGCTTCTTCCAATGCAAACGCTGTACAAGTCCAAAATATATTAGTAATAACTTAATGTTCAATTGAAAAGTTACAAAATATGCTAAATCCACCAGAATATAAATATAATACGCAGTTTTAAAAGGTCATTTAATCACCGAATTTCTCCAGCGAATTAATCCAATTCAGTCAAAACAAAAACTAACTTTTTTTAATAAAACCCCAAGTTAAATATTGTGAATCCAGAAAAGCTTTGAAATTCCAATAAACTCTGTAAAAACCCAGTAATGTATCTTAATAGCATTGCTGATTAATGATCGCCATATGTTACCCAAGGGGAAAAAATGCAACTTATACACTAGCTCATTACTTGTTTTTTGGCAGAGAAAAAACCATTATTGTAGCCAGCCTGCAACAGGGGGTGAAAAAAGGTTTGCTGCTGGCCACCTATTTCACATTTTATGCCAATTTTTTTCTCTCCCATAAAGTGCCGAGCTGGAATGTCAGCTCACTGGATGCTAAATGAGCACGGAGGCAAGCGTGCGTGGTTATTTTCATTACGCGGGTGTACGCTGCACTCTGGCATGGGGGAGCGGTAGTATGGCAGCGGTAAGCGATCCGCGCTGCGAACCCCGCGACCTGAGTTTTAGTCACACTCCAGTGACGATTAACGGAACCAGTCCTAGACCTTCCTGAGGTCGACTTGGCCTCAAATGAGTACCTGGTGCGGTGTGTTAAATCATCGCCACTGGGGAGAAAGGACAGTCGGGCATGGTGCTGGCCACCCACCCCCTTTGTGTACTGTATCAGCCTTCTTAGGTACTTGCTAATAGCACTTGCCCCAACAGTCTGTTAAGACTATACGTGGAATCTTTTTCTCGCATGCTAGTGATGCTTCACATGGGCCACAAAAGATGTATGCAACTATTATCATCGCCTGTATTCTATCAACACTCAAGCCATAATGGTCCTCTGTGCCTGAAATGTTCAGGTCACTTTTGAACATTTTATGATGACTAGAGTTGCGCTGTGATCTTATACCCTTTCTGTAGAGGATAACAGATTGTGGCAGATGTGCCCACTTGGCAAAATGACATGAATAACAAAAAAGGCCAAAAAAATTATTCTAACACAACCTACCGAGCCTCTAGAATACAAGCTCCACTGAGACTCAGCCTACATTAACCTTTCGATTATTTTTTTTGAATGTCAACTTCCGTAAACCATTCGTCTTGCTGGCTTATGTCTTGACATAAGAAAGGTTGTCCAATGAATTGAGTCCTTTGCCAACACCTTTTTCCACAGACTCGATAGGATTCCACAGGCATAAGCCTTAAAAAGCATACACACGCACACCAATCCGTGCTGCACTTGCGGGTCAAAATTAAGCGTGCACAATAAGTAAAACCCAGCAATGCCCTGATAGTCATTATCCATCTGCTTACAGGAGGCTGTGGCTCCTCATACTTGCGAGGTTCCGGTTTATCACGGTCCTTGCGAGCTTCTTTACGGCTGAAACATAGTGGTTGGAGAAAAAAACAAATTACTTAATTAGGTCATGTTACACAGTTCTTCCTTCAGCGCACACAATCACTGTTAAGGCAATGGGGGGGGGGGGGGGGAAATGAAGAGCAAAAGTGAGAAAACGATAAAACTGTTAACTTTCACCCGTATGAAAAAGTACAATCTTAATTTTCAATGTGACCTCTTTACGTAGAGGCGTATTTTTGCACACCAATTAATTATGAAAGATAATTTCGCCAAAGACAAAGCGAAAACAGCATGCATTTTCATGCATTCATTTACTTGCATTAACCGAATAACATTTAGTAATATACTTACTGGAACGAAGAATTTGGCTTCATTCACCATTTTATAAATGTTGAGCAAAAGAAACATGCTTAATTCATTCTAGCAAATCATCCCAACCAATAAAGTCAGAAGATGCAATTAGCTTCAACCCAACAGCACAGCTTTGAGAGCAAGTGCCATCAAGACTATCGGTCTGAAATCTTGAAAGAAGCCAGGAAACGCAAGTACTTTTTTCTGAGTAAACTCTGCATTGCCGAAACGAGTAGCACTGACAAGTTGTCAATGATACTTCATTGTTGCAGTTTCTACCACATGCATTGATTTCTGACGAGAATTGTGCTGCCTCTGACGAGCAAGTGCACAGGCCATTTAGAACAGAAAACTAAACAGCGCTATTCCATTATGTAAGGTAATTTAGCAGACCATTTGATGTGGGATTCTAACACAAATAAAGCAGGGTTTTTTCAGTTTCTCGATTGTGAAAAAAACATGGGTTTTTTTTTAAGTTAAAACCTCATGTGTCCATTTATTTTATAGAATTTCTAGGCCATGTGCTGAGCATATAAAAAAATCTCACCCTCACCAATGGATGGTCTTAAAACTGTTATTTTCTGCACATAATTTTAAAAAAATCCAGACATTAAGAAAAAACGTCTGCAGATATTTTTTAACACACCAACACGTGGCAGTGCTGTTACAAATTGCAAAATGTTAAGTGCTAGGCCATTTCCACATTTGTGAAGGGTGAAGATATATAAAACAATTTAAAACCAAATAAGTTCAAATGTCAAACCCTTCAGTGTAATTCGTGATTTATAAATTACATGAAACAGTTTATGGATACATTTAAAGTGCCCATCAAAAACCCTTAGCCAATGGATAATACAATACAGTAAAAAATGCAGATTCCAGTTTGGTTGTATTCAACTGTGATTGTGAAATGGTCACACTTTTAATTCTTTGCTCAATAAATACGGCACGTTCAAAAAGAGATGTCTCGACTTGCCCACCTGCACAGCTGGACTCCACCCTGGAGCCTATCATCTCGATGCAAGTTGTGATGCAGACACAAATGAGCGCATGTTGCATAATTGAGGTTTCCCTCTCCAGCAACAATGCCAGGAATATAAAATATTCATGCAACACAATGTGTGAAAACACTTCTCAGCATGATAAAGAATGGACAAACATAGCACTTACAAAGTTGAATTACTGATTCATATCTAATTATACGCACATACGTTATCCAAGGACGATTTCCTAGATGTGGCACCACAATGTGTAGCCATGTAATACAGCGCTCGAAGAGAATGTCAAGTTACCATTAATTAGTAACAATATAACGGTACTTTTAAAATGTTAAGCACATCCATTCTTGAGGAGCTCTCAACAGCACAGTATTTTGTAACTATTTATTTCCCTGAAAAGCCAATGAGCAGTTGTTTGCTCGAAGCAAAGAGTCAATGCCACACTGAGCAAGTGGGGAAGGGGGGGGGCACTGTGGCTGGGAACAATTTCTTCCGGAGGCCAGCCTACCCATCAGCTGGTGGCGCATCTTTTTTGCCCCAGGCATTGTTCTCCGGTGGAGGAGCACCTGCAGAGGCCGCCCTCCCACTCCCCTTCTTGTCATCATCTCCATCTGGTCAAGACAAAAAGGTGTTTTGGCACAAAACAGAGGGGGGGGCTGAAGCTTCCGCTCTCCACAAAACTGCACCAATGCTTGAAATAACGTAGTGCTTTGTCAATAACATGCTGAACAAAGACCTGCCACTCCCATGCCGGTCATGGGAGTTGATTGACCATACTTCACTTTGCTGGTCAGTGCAGGTTCGCGAAGAGAGGGCAAGGACTGGTTTAGGATCGACTTGCCACTGAAGTTTAATTAATCGTGGCCAAGAATAGAAGTCATGAAGCCCAATACATAGCATAGTGTGCAAACCACTGTGCCATGGAAAAAGTAATATAAAGAGCAATTCAAGTTTTACAATGTTTTCTTTAATAAAAAAAAGTCTTGCTTTTAGTGTTGGTATCATTCTACTTTTAAGAGATTTTAATTTCAATTGAAGAATTTGGATTTAAAAATACCAACCAACAGCACTCACATTATTAACATTTATGGCCTGAAATTTGTTAATGCAACGTTTGCTACGAGTGCGCAATTTTTTGTACAAAGCGGAGCTGATTTTCATTCACAGTTAACATCACATTCATCATTGCACATATAATATGCTACTGACACTCATTTGCCCTAGTGTATCACACATTCATGGATAATTATTTTCTGTTGCGAAGTATCACTGCAACTTTTGGCGATGGTATTTTTCCAACCGAGGCGTTTTTTTTTACGTGAAGAAATATTAACCGAATAAATTCATCACATTCACGTACTTCTGGAGTAAATTCAAGTATTTATTTTCTTCAGATAAATGTCTTTCTTTTCTGGGATGCAGAGCTATAAATGGCATTAGTCTATTTTTAAGTCCCTTAAAAACAATTTACACGAATGGCAATGTTCTAACGGAACAAGGCACGTCAATCAATTACGAACATTTTGCACATTCCTTTTGACCCAATCAATTATGTGCCACCGTTTCTGATGTAACAAATGCGAGGGAGACCATGCAAGGGATAGGTGCGCAATTCAAGGCGCTAATAAGTAGATCAATCGATGCGCTGTAATGTATTTATCAGGTGTAAAAATAAGACTCAGATTACCCTGTGGATCCATAACAGCGAAGATATAATTACTTGATTTTAATTCCTCTGAATAAATTTGTTATTTAAAAATATATATCTAAAATGGAGTGTGACTTTTAACATTTTATACATTTTATTATGAAAGCATGAAGATAATTAAAATCACAAGACGCTTACAGAGTTCTTTAACTTCTAAAATTCTAATTACAGTTTAAATTGCCAAGATCGTGGCGATATCTTTTTGTTACAAATTTTTATCATAACCGAAACTACTTAAGCAAATAGGTTTGTTAGTTTGTGGTGCTTCAGAAAAAAATACTACGGATGATAGAAATCAGCTTTTATGATCAAAAGACAGAAATTCTTAACAACATGTTGGTCATCACAGATTCTCCTTTGCATGGTGATAAAAGTACATTACTACCACATGCTGGGGGCTGTAGGGTCAGCCACTAACCTACGATGCAGTCAAGATCAGGGGGCAGCAGCTGAAAAATTGTGCGTGCAAGTCCCACAAGTCTGTTTGTGCTTCAGTGGGCAAAATAAGGAAACATTGTGGGTCCCGAGAACAAAGCTTCAGGTAAAGTCGACTTAATGCATCAATGATTACACCGATGCGTGTGCAAGATTTTGCAAAAATAACAGAAAAAAATACATTTCATTTATTCAGCAAGTGCTGAAACAAACTGAATTGTATAGCTGGACTTAACACAAGAGGCAACACTGTTGCTGTGATGAAGGCAATATACGCAACTTTTTGTCATCATTTCTTTCGCCACTTAACAAAATGACCACATATATGACATTACCAGAGGCAACGTTTAAAAACAACCCACGGAAACTGTTCAATATTCAAGAGTGGGGGAAAAAAACATTCATTTCACACTTGACTTAAACAGTGGGATATGGGCTCTCTCCCTCTCTCAATGCTGTTCTCTCGCTTTGACTGCACGACACAGAGTACTTGCCCAGCAGGCAATGTGTTCTGCTCTCAAGCACCCTACAGGGCCACCTTCTGGAAGACAAACGTGCGAGACGCTGTGATCTTCCCTGATCGAGTGGGAACACAGTGAACTGCAACGGCAGGCACTAAAGCCAACACAAATGCTTTCCACGTTGTTGTGACTAACTCCCAGGTGTTTGCTCGAGGGAGCTTGCATATACGTTTAGGACAGGAGCAACGCCTGCCTTTGAAACGACCCACGTCGGCACCTGTTTATTGCTACACGCCAATGCACAATCTATGGGGGGGGGGGGAACTAAACTGTTCATGGTCGATCCAGCTTGGTCAACATGCTTGAGAAAGTTTCACAAGGTAGCCCACTATACAAGTCTGTCTTGACAGTGGCTTTGTAAATGTTTTTTTATTAATGTAAAACAGCATTGTCGTAAAATAAAATGTGTTACCATCCATTTCCAAGTGTGGAGACTAGGTTCTTCTAAACAGATACCTCGTGCAGCAATGACGAGAGATGACCGAGACAATGCATCCTTTTACTTGCACCACTCAAGTGGCGTTCACTTTTATGCTCAAGGCTTAAATCGATCGCTCGCCTGGCCCACAAAACCTGGGATCCCTCGCATTATAGTTTTCATTTTTAATAAGTCATGGTTATGGCCATGGTCATCCAGTAGTGGATTGAACATGGCTGACTGATGACACTGCAAGTGGTATTCTTACCCGAGGAAAGATCTACACTGTTTGTTACAAGGTACTTTTCAACCCGACTGTTTTGCTGTTTAACAGGGTTGCTGTACTTCATAACAATTCAGCTGTACTCGGCAAACTATTCGCACTACATGACACCATGTCGCTTGAATGCACCTTCATAAAAGGTGCTTAGCGCTTGTAAATTGGTCACTGCTGGGGCTTTTGCACGACACCTACAGGGATTAACACACAACATACATTCTCGAGAGGATAAAAAAAGAGCACACATAGCTAATGGGGGTGTAACGAACGATAGTGGACGAGCAGTGTCTAAGCGTTTAAATACTGGAGCCTCAGAAAGCCCCCCTGCGAATTCACTTTTTTTTACAAGTTCTTCATATTAATATTTATTCATATTTTCATACAAATCATATTCACCATTTCCATATAAGAGCACTATATAAGGCTTATATTTCCTACAAGTTCCTCAAATGGTATTCAAAGGAAATCAACATTATACATTGCGCAACAGATGTATATAATTTTAGCTCATGCAAATATAGCATCAATTGAAAGCACGCAAACATTTTTTTTGGCTCTATAATTTAGAGTGCTCGCTAGCAGCACTTGCTTTGACACACCCCTTCAGGCTAAGCAGGGGATCATTGCCTTTTTATAACATTACCTTTTGAAGAGGTACTGCTGCCACCACTTTCTTCCTTGCTGGTTGGACTTTTGGGTGGAACGTTGCCTTTACTGCAGATCCAAAGAGCAAGACATGAGGAAGCAATTAACAGTGTAATTCATAATCAAGTAAAATAAGCTGGCACAACTATTAGGATTTAAAAGCAGAACGTATTTTACGCACTAAAATAAGTATTTTTCGTAAAATTATGCATATGCTTTAAAACTAGGATTCAGTAAAGTCTTACCTTAATCCTGGTTTTACAAAGTAGTATCATCCTGGCTCCGAGTCATAATTAGTGAACTTGTTCCTCTGCAGCAGCACAGAACCCAGACTCTCCCTCATATTAATAATATTCCAAATTTTCAGAGGTATTCCTTCCATATCAGGGGGGAGGAGGGAGGAGCCACCCATGCCACGCCCCTATGAGCGGAATGGGCGGTCCCCAAACCCGTCCCCCCCCCCCACGTGACCTCCTTTCTATCCTCTGTTCAATGACTATGCTATCAAAGCCAATTTAGAGGACGTTGACTATCATCCACGAGCGAACAACACCTTAGAGGTCGACAGGACATGACTTAGAACTCAGCGGGGTAGGTGGGTGTGGAGCTGGGATAATACTACGAGGTAAAACCAGGATTACGTTAAGCCTTTACCGAAATTCTAGTTTAATACCTCAGTCGTATCATCCCAGCTCTGAGTCGTCGTACTTAGCGAGCCGGTACAGAACCATCTGACACTGGAGGTGGGTAAGTACAGGACCGCCCACTCTTACCAGTAATCCCTTACTGGACCGCAGATGACAGTGCATCCCTATCTGAAACGTCAATCCTGAGAGGACAACACGTCAAGGCGGTAATGGCGTGCAAACTTAAGTTGTGTTGCTCCACACCGCTGGCTCTCCAAATCTCATCCAGAGACCCGCCTGCCCTGCCGGCCCAGAACGCTGCCACACCCATGATAAGAGTTCGGTTTAACATCAGTTGGTAATAGCTGCCCCTTACACCTGTATGTCTCTGGAATGGAGGCCGTCCCCCACCAGACATTTCGATCTCTGAAGCGCCTCTGCCGATGGCGCCCAGACTAAGGTATCCGTAGGGTTGCCACCAGCAGTCAGCAGTTTGGTAGACTCTCGGCATTGCTGAGAGGCCGAATGGTAGCACTTTGAAGTGATAAAGGTTCCCCGGTACAGTGAACCTGAGGAATCTGTGGTCCTTGGCATGCACTACCACATGCAGGTATGCATCCGTGAGGTCTATGGAGGCTAGACAATCGTCGCGGACTATTGTCCGAGCGATGGATGTCACAGACTCCATCTTGAAACGATGGTTCTTCAAGAATCTTTTGAGGCTTCATAAGTCCATTTAACCCGGAAGCCCCGAGGAGATGTTGGGACCATAAAGAATTGCGAGTAAAACCGGCAGCCCCCGATGAGAGGTCGGAACCACATCTATCGCCCCTACTTCCAAAATCCATGCCACGTCGGTTTTGAGAGCCTCCTCCATTTCCAGACGACAGGATGGTTGCGACTCCACAAAGGTGTCTCGTGGCGATTGAGATATGAACTTGTATCCGCATCTTATCATGCAATGCGCCAATACATCCCTGGTCGACCGGGACCACTCGTTCCAGAGCCACCTGAGACGACCCCCGTGCGCTGTGCGGGCATCCCCCGTGTGGGAAGATCGCTGATCACTTGGGCTTACTTGGGAGGCAGCCGCAGAGGGCTGCCTCCCGCGCATGCGCTCCCGCCGCGGCAACGCTGTCAGCCGCCTCGCGATGCAATGCCACGATTGACTCGCATTGCTATTGCTGGCGGAACTCGCCCACGTGAATGCGTTATTTGATCACGAAAGCACTGGTTCCCTGGGACCTCCTTCCAGGCTCTCTTTGTACTCTTTATCATGTTCTACTCGTGGATGACAAGCAAGGGCCATTATATATTGGCTTTGATAGAGTCATTGAACTGAAGAGGATGGGCAGGAGGTCACATGTGCAAAGGGTGTGGGGACCACGCATTCCGCCCCGTGGGGGAGCGGCATGGGCGGCTCCTACCTCCACCCCCTGCCCGTTTGCATGGAGGGAATGCCTCCGAAAACGTTAAATATTAACTAATATGAGTGAGAGTATGGGTACTGTGCTGCCAGAAGAATGAGATCACATAGTACTATTTGGCGAGGATGATATAATAGTGATAATAACAATTAGCCAATTATAACAGTTTAGTTCATGACAGCACTGCAATATGCATAGAAAATAAAAATTATTCTCCCACCTCAAGAGTGAATGTACAAGAAAAATGTAGTTGTCCTGAACTCCACCGGGATTTACCGCGTAATGAGCAAGTGCAGAGTGCCCATAATAGTCAATATTACACAGTGACGGCACTGACTCCTAACGCTGATGAAAGTCACGCAAGAGCAATGAATCAGATCAGGGAGGAAATAAATAAAAAATTAAGCCGTAAATTAAGGTGCGGGGCTCTGGTGGATGAAACCCGTGCAAAGGACAGGCAAGGTGTTGGGATCCAGCTTCCTTCATTGATTTACTGCTTCGAGACAGTTTTGAGTTGGGCTCGTAAAGCGACCACCGCAGCATCTGGCCTCATTACGTTTAACATCGAAACGGGCAACACACGCCAGGTGTGACAAATCACGCTAAACCCTAACCATTTCCAAGCCGACAAACACTGCCACATGAAGTGAGCACGGTCTGGAGAATTTTTTATAGTGCAGAACCGATGTGTGCTGGTAGGTAGATGAGGGTTTTTTTTTAGATCCTTTACGAAAGCAAAACATCTGTTTAAACATCTGTTTAACTTGGGAAGGAGGCCAAATACTTACAATGGCACCCTTTAGATGACCTCTACAAGAGCAATATACCCGAGTTCTTCCCAGTATACTGTGCATTGGTTTGAATTTAAGGTCTGTTCTTATTAATTTGTGCTTCCTTGCCACTGCATACATTACACAATCCCATGCGAGTTACACAGAAATGAGATCTGGACTCATTTTGACTTGAGATCATTCATGCTTATAGCTAACATAAAACACTAACTCGGTATAGGTTAGACTTACATTTTCAGCTTGTAAAATACAAGGAGGCCTAACTCAAATAGGAAGAAGCGTGGGTCTGGTGAACGTGATCATGAAGAATATGCTAATAATTGCCTATAAGACAGTGTGGCTGGACCTGAAATCTCCATCAGAGCCCGGAGAACGCAGAGGATTGGCACCACGAGCCCAGGCATTCTCCTTGGGTGGAGGCGCTGCCTGTGTCTTTGGTGGTGTGACTTCACGAGCGTGTTCACTCTGGCCGCCCTCCCTAGGCTCGCTTCCACTGTCCTCCCGGTCATCAGCTGGAACACAAAGCGTTGGCACAATAAGCACACATTTCATGCTGATGTAATTCAGCGCCAGACCATCAAAAGAGGCAGGCAGCAGGAGTGGGGGCTTTTTTTGCGCACTCCCACCCAAAGACAAGGACATTCAAACTCCGTGCCACAAATGGAACAATACTCCTTAGCACTACACATGCTGGCGAGCATCAAAGTCAGCTGGGTCATTCGGATAATCAAACAAAGGCATGATAGCAATGGACACTGCTTCGAGAAAGCGGCTCCAGTGATTATCAAATGTTCTTGTGTACACGTTTTACGTCATTCCACGTAAATATATGCACACATGTTTCTTATTATTCTTTATCCCAATAAGTAATTTGGCAAACAAAACAAAATTTAAAAAATTCCATGGAACTGCAAGTCAGGCTACTCACTGCTATTCATCGAAAGACACTTCACACATTTTAATGAAAACTTACAAAATAACAACAATGCTCAACACAGCTTACCAATAGCGATGACCAGATCATTTTTTGAAATGTCACATTTTATATGGATGTGATTAGTAAGCACGAGTTAAAGGGCACGGGTGCAGTCGTTAGAACATATGCACGCTGGATTTAATCACGTCCGCCAAACAAGTGTGCACATTTGCATGTTTCGGCCGCGCTCATTTCTAAGTGCAGTAAAATCACCAAACGAAATGGTGGCTTCCCTTAATGAACTGGCTGGATATGTTTTTCTGCAGTGCTTTAGAAGTCTGGGTTGGCGATGCTTTCAAGCTTCACCATGGACAGACACACAAGGGAGATGAAGGAACTGGATAAAGAATGAAAAATGCTCTATCTCACCTGTTCTTTGAAGTTGCCCATTATAAAGGAAAAAAGCAAACAAGCGCATCATTTTAATTGGGGCTCCCTGAAGTATTCATTACCATTCAGTGTTCACAGCAGCTAATTAAGGAATGACTGTGGTTCAGAACTTGCTTTAATGCTTTTAATATAGCAGCATTGCTACTCTCAAACATGACAGCCTGTTTTCATGAAACGCAAACAAAACTTTAAAAATACAACATAATATTCAGGTTAAATTTAATTGTATTTCAATTCGTGAAAAAATTAAGGTCTAAAGGAAATTCTTAGTCTGTTTACGATATATTTCTTGACAATACAGAACAGAGCATTGGAGGAACCGTCTGGACCCCAGACATTCTTACTTAATGGTCGAGCCAGCCAGTTACTGAAGCAACCTCGTCAGTACAAAGAGGAAACACACACAAACCGTTAACACCTAAAAAAGTATTTTACACTGAACAGCTAATGCTGCAGCCCAGAGGGCAGTGTAGCACTGACTGCTAATGTTCGCCCAACAAATGCCAACAAGAACCTCCCAGATTTCTTGGTCTTATGAAAGTGGAGGTTTTGGCCAGTACAGCATACAAAAAAAACATCCTAGTAAAGAAAAAAAAATGAGACGTGCCAAAAATGCTTTAGGGCATCAGATGGCATTGGGTTAACATGTTTAATCTCATTCACATTGAAAAGCAGCATTGGGAAAACATTTTGGTACATGGTACCAATTCTCAGAAGTCATCAAAAGCAATTTTCAGTATTTTTTTCCAATTTATTGGTAAAAATAGACTATGGAATGTTAATTCCTTGGCCACTCCTCCACTATAACTGTTGCTGGTCTGCACTGCTCATTAAAGTATTTTCCATCCAAACCAATAGATAGGGAAGGTCGATCTTCAAATATTCATGCTAATTTGGTATCCCAGCAGGGTTTACAAAAACATAACAGCTTTAGTTTTGACAAGATGCGCCACAATGACAGAGACCAGTGTCCTCTAAGCCAATCTGATAACATTCTTAATCTGCTTAAAACCAGACTGGCTAAGGGGAAAAAGCAAGGCTCCCATTTGCTCCTCAAATACCCACTGATTTTTTTTTACATAATAACCACAATCATGCCTTTTGTTCTGGTAGAGCCAAACAGAGTGCCTTCATTATCTCCGTTCTTAAAAATATGAAATTGGAGCAGCAACATAATGGCTTACGGATATAACTAACAAACATCTACTGTGTAGTGAAGATAAATGAAAGCATGTGCAATTTGTTGCATTCATCCTATTCACACAAAAACAGAATAACAATGCTAATGCTGCACATGTTTTTTAAGATCCCATAGTCATCCCTCTGTTTACACTCAGATTTTTAGGGCCCCTTATACTATATGGACAAGACACAATGGGATGGAGCAGTGGTAGGAAAGTGGTTTGCGCACTGTGTTATGAACCCAATCACCCAAGTTCAATCATATATCAACCAGTGAACAACTACCTGCACTCGCAAACATGGTTTAGTATTATCCAAAAACCCCCATGAACTGACATGGTTTGGAAATGCCTTCATCCAGCAGTAGACTGACAATGGAATGTAGATTATTAATCATTTTACAATGTACATACTACATAAAAGGACATTCTGGTTACAAGGAGTACAATTAGTACAACGCAGCAGTTTCCACAATTAACAGGCATATTTTCAACAACCGTGACGATGTACATAAACAGAACGCAACTTGCAATGGTCTTTGAGTGTTTGCTGTTCAATTCAAAGCTTGGGTTGCTTTTCTGAGGAATGAGCAGAGCATCATCCAGTGGATATGCCATAATCCCATCATCATTATATAATACTGCTGTATAGAAAAAAAAACTTGGAACACCTCCACCATTCTGCCACCTGGGCCAAAATAAACAAAACACTCAGCTGGGTATGTGGCAAAATATTTGAAATGAAAAACTATAAAAAAACACAATGCATCTTTTGCTTTGCTATTTCTACACTTGGCTTCTCTGACACATTGTGCTAATCAAAACGTGTTATTTTTAGCAACGTATAGTATTGCAATTAATTAACGTAGGATGCCACTGATTTGTATAGCCTTTTAATTGAGTTGTGCATTTGGAATATCCATTGCCAGGAGAGAAACAAGTGCTCACTGGCACAAGAAGTTCTACTGCACGTTGCTGAAAATATCAATTGTGTAAGTTTTTGCACAAGTTGAATTGTGAGTTTACTTTTCTAAATCAGTCAGGAGTGATATTTCCTTTCAACTCTGCTTTTCATGAGATGGAGAATGGTCCACGGAAGAGGAAATAACAGAAATACTTTTGAATCCTCTTCAAATTACTTATTATTCAGAAGAGGTGCTGCACTTTCGCACATATATTGCTAAAAAAAGATGTCGCACGGCTGTAAAATAAAATTCATGTATTCTCATGGAGGGAATTTAAAGTGAAAAACATTTAATAACATTGTTTTATTGACAATGTATGATACCTGTGGTGAAACCATCAGATCACTATTCTTGAAATAATATAATCATGGTAATTGTCTAGATTAGAACCTAAGATATCAAGTCATGCCATATTTAGTCACGAATGTAACACTACAAGTTAGGAATAATGTATTTTGATGAACACCCAATGTCACACCAATATCCTTGCCTGTGCAATGTCATCACAATGAAATAAAATTCATTTGGATATAAAACAATTATAATTGTACTAACCATTTCTAAAGCACCAACAATTTTGCAGTTGGGTTGCCAGTCCCAGTAACATATTCCAAATGAGACTTACGAGTAATGCCCTTATTATCCTTGCCAGATTGTATCCATTAGCAAAGCTCCAATAATGAAGGCAACAGATTTCAGGGCATTTTCTGCCATCAAAGACCCTTGCCCTTTTCCTCCACAAGTAATACTACAATTAACAGAATTGGAAAAATCAATAATTCAATGATCTTAATTCCCTGTCTGTGATGAAATGTAATTGCTATTGTAATTTTCAGCAAGTGAGTAATTAAAACTAGGGCACCTTTAAACACCGGCTGCATTAATAAGCTCACCCATTCGAGTGGCAGCTTAGCACAGTGCAACGGGAATTCTCACCAGTTGCTCACGATTAGACGGTTCACACACTCGCATATCGCTGCAACAACTGGTTAGATCAAAGCATTCCCAGCGACAGGGGCCATTGAGTCGGGAGGTATTTTGTAGTGGGAATTCTAAACATCCATGTGCTTTGTATGGCAAGTTGCCTTCAGCATATCTGAAAACTCAAGTAGTAAGACTCGGGCAACAAGAAACTGGTGAATAAGATACCATTTTTTCTCCTCTATCTATTTCTCTTGTTCATAACCAGTGCAAATAGCAAGTGATCAATGGGATGGAAAAAATCATTACATTTACAGCACCAAACATCTATGTGAGAGGCATACATTTCGTAAGACTGATTTAAATTTGCGCAGTGTTCCAAACATAACCACATCTAATTTTGGGTCAATTACTAAAGTTCCAACACGGCGTTAATGATAAATTTAAAAAACTATGTCATGTGTTTTCAAGCCTTGTCATCTACACTCCAGTTTTCTTTGCAGATACGCACATATTTACCACCCCTCTTTAAAGCCTCCAAGTCCCAATTGGTGCTGCTACTAATCGGTAAAGCTTCATGGTCCTTAATAAATGCTAAAATGTGCATACTCATTAGGATTGTCCTTTAAACTCATATTTTTACATTTAAAATAAATATTCGTAATCCCAAAGTAAGCTCTACCCAGGCCCAATAATTTAGGAAATTATTCAGAGCTGAAAATAACATTTTACAGCATTTTGTCAATCCACTGTTGGATGAAGTCCTCCCCCATGCTGCATCATTCATGGAGGTTGTCTGACCACACCCCACTTTGCTGTTGATGAACAAAGAGGCAGCAGGACCAAGTCAGATACCAAATGCGACTGATGTTAGCCAAGGCCATGTATCACGGCCGAGTTCATCGTGCAATTCGTTAACCACTGTGCCACCATTCCACTTCATTCACAGTTAAGCTAATTGAAAGATAATATAAAAACACACAATTAAAACATTATGCTACGCATTTTAGTCATAAATACTAAAGGGAGAGAGAAGCCAACAGCTTGAGAGAAATGGGTAGTGAAAAAGAACCGTCATTGGATGTCGGCGTGCTTATGTAAAAAACCAACGAAGATTGTCGCAGGAATGCCAGAATAAATTATTTGATTCACCAAATCTACCATGCAGTGATTTTAAAGCTCCATTGCAGACATCATCTGTGATGTCATCAACTACTCTACAAAAAAAGCCTATCAAATATAGCCGATGCACGAGTGAGGTTACAGTTGTCATTGCAGGTAAGATTATGGACTTATCTCTCTTCTGCCATGTAGACAAGAACCCCACCTAACCACAGGAGGAACACCATGATCATGTCCTGAGGCATGCATGTGCTCATGCAGAAGACGCAACACCCCGAAACCTAAGAGTTTGACATTTTGGCTTATCCATTATTTTACCATTGCTTTCGGTGATGTTAAGTGACTGGGCAAAAGCACAGTCAATCCATCTTGCGGACAAGCAATTTTTTTTTCCACCCGCAGGTAAAATGTACCAAAGGCAAACCCACGGGGGAGGTGGGGCAGGGCGCCAATAGAATCACAGCATTTTTTGCAGGCAGAGACGCCACTCGGTCTTTAACCTCAACAACATCATGCACGCCACAGACTGATGTCGGTGTGTAAAGTTTTGTTTGTTACCGTCACCTTCTCTTCTTTCTTCTTCTCTTGGTCTGGGTTCAGACCTCTCCTCCCGGTCAGTGTGCCAACTCGACTGCCTGCAATAGACACATGCAGTGATTTTTTCTTTCTTTTGAGGATTAATAATGCTCACATTTATCTGGTGGCGAGAAGTTACTACTAAAATAAATAACAATTAAACGATTTCATGAATGGTCACATCTTATCACTGCAAATATTTCAATTTCTACTGAAGCCAAGCCGCACAACTGCAAGAGAACATGGTAATGCAATTATGCAATCAATAAGCCTCATAACGTCTGAGCCCATAAATAGGAAGATGGGAACAAGGGCAGATAGGAATACAGTAATCTGCCAAAGCCAACAAATATACAGTTAGACTTTCTATAATGCATACTAAGGCTATACAAACATAAAATCCATGCAGCCACGGCAGAACTTAAAACAGCCTTTCATTACCATGGCGATTCCAGATTATTATTCAGGACCACTCGCCAATGCACGCCCACACGTGGGTGGAGAGATGAAGGCCTCTCTCATTTACATCTCCCTGACTGGTTTCCAATCAGTGCACCGGTGACCTTTACTGATCGATTCCACAGCAAGATCAGACGAGTACTCAACTGCTTGCTCAACTCATTGCATACACACACACCACTCTGGCAACAACCACCACCACCACCGGCTCCATTCAAATGAGTATTTTTGTTGTTCAAACTGTAAGGGGAATAAATATTATACCATTACCACATGGATATCATGAATTTAAAATACAAATAAAAAACATTGTTAAACTGAACCCGAGCAAAAAATTAGTGCATCTCACCTCTGTAAATCAAAGTGATTCAAGTGCAGTGAGTTAATTCTCAGCCTAGTCACCAATAATTTCACAAGAGACAGTATTTGCCATTTCATTTAATACAACCTCATATAGGTGTCTGGTTTTTATCCGTATTACATAAATGAATGATAAACGTGATGACTTAAGACTCTGCAAAGCATGGAGGTGCACTGCCCAGCACTCCAAAGAAAGCCTATCTCTATACTCGACAGGAAAAATAAAGAAATTACCAAACATCCATGCAGGACCCTCCTAAAAGTTTAATAAGATTCAGCCAAAGCCTCCATGGGTATTAAGTTTATGTCACACAAGAAGTACTTCTGCGGTATCTTACGAGGTCATTCTCCAATGCGACGAGCACTTAAGTGAGTGCGCGCAGCATTGCCAAGAATGGCCTATTCACAGCCTCCAAATGCCACAATTGGGATGTGTTTGGTGTGGAGCCAAAAAATAGAACGAGCAGAACCCGCCACCGCCATTCCTCACCTGTCAGCACCGCGTGGGCGATCTCCCCGCTCCTGCTCACGCAGAAGTTTGGCCTCCACCTCGCGCTCGCGAGCTGTTGTGTCCACGGGACGTGCCGCCCCAAAGATGGAAGCCGCTCGGCTGACGGGTTCACTCGAGCCGGCTGCAGCCGGGGCCTTCGTCACCTCTTCCTTGGGTGCTGTGCGTGGCTGCAACACCAGCCTGGGGCGCTGGACAGGCCCTGCGAGACATTTCCGCCGAGACCAAATGTCAACATCGCATGCCAAGAGCATCAACACGGTCTCAATCGACCCCCCGCACTGCCACAAATAACAAACACAGCGTAGTTGTCACCACTACAACAATGTGGTAATAACCATTGTTAGATGGTCACAACAACAAATGACAATTCTTTCTGCCAAACTAGGATCTTCACCACCATTATACAAGGGGGTTTTGGCAAAGAGGCTAGGCTCAAACTCAGCCCAATGGGGTCTAGCCTTGGAAATTATTCAATAAGTAGACGAGCTGGCATTTTATTCTGGTTAATTCTCTAAAGGGCACTGACATGAAACAAAACACAAATTGATATATTGTGAAACATGTAATGGGGACATCTTATGTTTAGATGCATTATCATTTATGAAGTACTGATTACATTCCCTCAATTGTTCTTCTTTCTGCTCCTTTATATTCCCTCATTGCTATCCTGCTCAATTTCCACACCAACTCCAGAGTCCTTAATATGCTCGCTCACACTAGCGAACCCTCTCACTCTAGACCAGGGGTCGGCAACCAAAATAACAACAAGAGCCATTTCTTTCCAATTCGGTACAAAATTCAGTATTTCAAGAGCCGCAATGCATCTGAGTACATACGTACTCAGATGCATTGCGGCTCTTTACGGGCTGCTTCTTGACGATGAGTACATACGTACTCATCGTCAAGAAGCAGCCCGTAAAGAGCCGCATGCGGCTCCGGAGCCATAGGTTGCCGACCCCTGCTCTAGACCATCCCTTCAGTCTTCACCCTGGTGCAAACATGTTCATAAATTTTCTTCCAATGTGGGGTTTCCCGCTTCTCTTACGACATGTCCCAGTCATAAATTAAATTCTATTTCGGCCAAGATGGGTAACACTCTTGCCTCCTTCCTCATCTCCACATTTCTGAAACTCCCTTATTCACTCGAAAAACTAAAGTTTTGCAAGCACATAACCGATTTAAAGGAAAAAGTATCAGGTGTCGTGTGTTTGCGGATGTGCCTCTACCTGAATCTCCCCGTCTTTCTTCATCCTTGCGCTCATAGCGATCTTCGTTGCGCCTGTCCCCAGAGCTGTCTCGGCCGCCAAAGCCAAAGCCCCTGCGCTCCCTGGGAGGGCCATCTCGATCAAAGCCTCTATCGCGGTCAAAGCCCCGGTCTCTGGGGGGGCCATCTCGGTCACTGCCTCTGTCTCGAGGACCATCAAAGGCGCCGCCGCCACTGCTGCCGCCGCCACCTTTATCGCGCGACTCCCTATCGAAGCCCCAGCTGGCACTGTCCGAAGGACGATCGTAGTTTCGTCGAGGCCCGAAAGCTCCACCTTCCCGGTCACCGCCTCGGTCACCACCTCGGTCACCACCTCGATCACCACCTCGGTCACCGCCACGATCGCCGCCTCGATCGCCGCCCCGTTCGCCTCCCCGTCGCTCATCTCGGCCCCCTGAGAAGCAGCGCAAAGCCCACATTGTAACCATGAGACAAAACATACATTTCACTAAAATATCACATTGTTTTTACGTTTAATTAGAGACTACCCTCAAAAATTGGGGTTAAGCACAATGCCAAAAAGCTGCACTCTTCTTGCAAATACAGGTGGCTTAAAAAACCACACAAATTATATTTCATGTTGTAAATTGTGGCACTTAATTACAAATGTGTTTGTAATGTAACTATAATATTAATCTGTGTTGGTAAACTCAAGTTGAGCTATCAATCGACAAGTTTAGGACAAGTAGAAACCAGAGAGAGAGTTTTGAGACTTTACGAATCAGATTATGTATTTGTACTGGAGGAATCCGATGATGATAAAGCTCTTTTTCACAGATGTCCAGTCGAATACACAAGGATTGTGGGGGGGATGGAATTGCTCATACATTCCGAGTAGCTGTCACGGCCTCTGCGTGGGCCTGCTTCCTCCTCCTCGCCAGGCGTCTTCACACGCCAGTCGGATGAGTCTGTTTTGCCAGAGTCCCGTGCCCAGTCTCTGTCGCGGTCACGTCCTCCACCAAATCCTGATCTCTCTTCACGATCTGGACATAAAACAAATGCCAGGGTTACTGCTTCCGTCTATTGGGCTATCAAAGCCCCAGTAACCTGCAAATACCATCTCACAATGATCAACACAGGTCCAGATATTGGTGCAAAAAATGGATAGAAGGCGTGTAAGGAGGCTTGTCTTTTTCCGCTGTTCACCAGATTGAATGCTTCGTACCTTTATCCTGTACATGATCTGCCAAATCCACGCGAATTTTCCTATTGAGTAAACTCTGTGAAAGAAAACAGTGATGCCAGTTTAAAAAGTCATGTATTGGTAAAAATAGGCACATATAGGCATGCAGCATGTGGAGGGCAAAATGCAACTCCATTTGTAATTTCAGGAATAAAATTATAAAAATGTGTTTGCAGTTGCACACACCTCCTCATTGAGAGCCAGTCCAGAAAGAAGTGAATCTATATCATCAAACTCAGCATATCCAAACCCCTTCAGCCGATCTGGGTTGAGCGCATCTCGTGGCAGTCGGACAGAACTGATCTGCAGTGGAGAGGATGTACATGTATTAGACAAAGAATTACACAGGCTTTCTTAAATACCCAAAAGCACAAAAGGGTATCTTTCAATGGTAACAATGAACGTTTATTGTCACGCATTCCAAAACATAACGGACAGCATAGTCAGCTTTAATAAATATAAAAACGCACATTTCAGATGTAATTCATATTTTCATCTACATGAAATGACTGCATTTTGCATATGAAAATCATAATTGGAGGTCAGAGCCAGTTTATAAAACAAATCATGAACTAAAATGTACTGTGGGCCATCCAGACCCTCGTTTTTGCAGCAGTTTTGACCAGCGAAAATATGCTTAGTATAGTTCCGTAACATCTATGCATGGCCAGCAATCATGAAGACACAAACTCTTAATTTAGAGCAAGTTAATGTAATTATACACATTTGACTGTCACAATGGTCCTTTGTGGTAAATGTAATTTGATATTAAATGTGAATAGAAACTACCAGGCAATGTGCTTGTTTACAAATGATTTCTGCAGTGTATAATCAGAGGTATGACACTGAATTTGAATTAAGAAACCCTACACCCTGAAGAAAATGTAATAACCACTTGGTCACCCTGCTGCCCTGTTTATGTAAATATCTCCTGTCCTTTATATTTATCAAACATGTTTTCCAACCATGTTCCATGAGAAGCAAATCTACACAGACAATGCACCCAGCAAATGGAATGCTAATGCTGAAAAAATGCTCTTAACATTCACTGCTTGTTATGTTGAGTTGACAACTAAATTTAATTCCAAATAATCAATAGGTGCAATACATCGATCAGAAATATTTGCAGGGAAGTCATTATTCACCAAGCCTGTCATAGAGTATCTGCAATTACACACGATATCATACCATGTCTCTTACTCAACAGAATTGTACTTGCATATTTTTTTTTATTCCACACTGAACTCGGTCACAATTTACACGAGATAAGACATTTGTTTGGAATTTACCTTGATAAATAAATGCATGACCTTGTTGATCAAAGCTAACGCTTAAAAGAATGGTTTTCGTGAAGGTGGGCTGTTTGTGGAAAAAGTTAATCATATTGTCTCACTAACACAGCCAACGTTGCTCGTTTTCCTCGGTGGATTTCGTTTTTCTTACATTGACATGCTAATCTCTCACAATACAATGGCCACCTCCACAGCTTTGCCTTCGTGGAGGTAGCTCAGCTCTAGAATCTAACATTTACATGCAAATTTCATTTCTAGCCCTTCCCACTTTGCTTATGACCCTTGGGCTACACCCATCTCAAACCTTTATAAAATCCTGCCTCAGTAGCTCGCCCGCTACATTTTTCACGTGATGATGATTGCTTGTGTTGCGATCGAAACGTCGTGACATTTGTATTATTTTTCTATCTACGTGGCTTTACCGAAAAACCCAAAGAATATTAATTTCTACAGTCACGAAAAGCTTTAAGTCACGAAAAAGTAAATATTCAACAAAGGACGACCCTCAACCGCCACCTTGTGGATAAAAAGCATTCTGCCACTAAAATAAAGGTGAATTAAGAATACGTGTAACACAGGTTTTGGTAAAAAATATATACTTTAAAATAATGCAAAATCTAAAATATTTAAATGTACTTTACAATGAAAAGTCAAAACCTGTTTGTTGAAACAATAAAAGTAAACAAGGCGTTATATTTAAATAGTTTATGCAAGTGCTTCAAAATGTCCAAATATTAGTGCATCTCCTCCAAAAGTTGCTTCTTCCTTCATAGGATTATTGATATTGTGCTTTTTCACCCAGCATTCAAATACTGAAAATGTTTTTTCCAACTTCCTTTATGAATGTATATTCTTTGGTTCTTTCGGTAAAGTTTAACACGTACGCTTTAGCGACCAATATCATCCATAATATAGGTTTTTGGGTTAGATCTTTCGTTAAAGTCACGGAGATAGAAAAATAATAACAAAGTGAATAAAAATGAAAATAAGAAAAAAATATATAAAATAACAACCACGATGTTTCGATCGCAAGACAAGCGGTCGGCATCAGGAAAAGGGGATTAGCCTCTAAAGGAAAACTGTTTATAAAGGTTTAAAATGGGCGTAGCCCAAGTGTCAGCAGCATGGGCGGAGAAGCTAATGTTAATGTAAGTGATGCACAACGGCGGCGTTGGTGGTGGGTTTCCACCAATTAAAGGGCTGCCAGGTAAAGGTTTAACATGGGCGTAGCTCAGTTTTAGCAGCATCGGCGGGGCAGCTGTTAATGTTGTTGACAGAGGAGGTTGCTGCTAGACGTGATGGTAGTAGTGGGTAATGATCCCTCATTACCCACTACAGGTGGTGGGCTTCCACCAATAAAGGGCAACTGCTAGTGGTGATGGTAGTAGTGGGCAGCGATGGTCCTGGTGGTGGGCTTCCACCAATTGAAGGGCTGCCAGGTCTAAAATGGAAACATTACAGCCATTTATTACTGGAACTGGTTGATAACGTCCCTCCGGTGATTGCCGAGTTTGTACCTATCTTCTCGGTGGAAATTGTGTCTATGTCTGTATATATGGATGGCTTCATGAATGAATCTTTGTTGATAGCCAGTGGGTTTGCAAAGTATCTTCGTCTTCAAAAAATACATTTCGTGTGAGCCAGTCGCATTAAAATAATGATCAGCAACGGTAGAAGCATTGGTCCTACCGTGTTTCAAATCTGCCTTATGTTCACGAACACGGTCCGAGACATGTCGCTTCGTTCCCCAATGTGCACAGCATTTGAGAAGTTTATTTTTTGTTCTCTCCACTTCATTGTTAGGGCAGGGGTCGGCAACCTGCGGCTCCGGGACCGCATGCGGCTTTTTAAGGACTGCTTCATGATGTTATTTATAAAGGACCATCTCGTATTCACGTACATTGCGGTTTCTGAAATATTGAGTTTTTTTACGCACTTCAAAAAAATTGCTCGATGTTATTTTGGTTGCTGACCCGTGTGTTAGCGTATTAAGTACATGATCAAAAGTTCCTTGCTATGTACTTACAAGTACTCATTTTTATTGACATTCCAAGGACAGAAAAACCATTTCGGTAAAAGCTTTAGTGTTAAAACATGACAGGGTTGAAATACATTTGAAGTGCTCAGAATAGTGCTGAAAATAATGCAGTGTGGCTTTTAAAAAGCCAACAGAAATGGGGTGGTTCTGACATGTAACCAAAAGAAATGCACTTTTGATATTCTTCCACAGGAAAGCATGCATTTATTTAATTTACCAGTCATGTAAAGTACTCCGTGCACATGATTAAATGAGACAATATCACTTCAGCCAGCACATGGCAAGAAAAAACCTTCCACCATTCGTAAGACATCCCATTCTTTAAACTACTGTATTAATTACCTTTTATTATCTTGGTAGTTCCTACATTGTGAGTTTCAATAAATATGAATCCGAGTCTTTTACCACTCTCCCACGTATTATGTATTGAAATTTAACTTCTCTCGCACTAAATCGGAGGTGCAGTGGAAGCACAAACTAAGCACAAAAAGCAATTCTAAAGAAATTCGTTTTCTATATAGGTTTAAAAGTGCATAGCACCAGTGGCTTCCTAATATCGGAAGAGCGCCCCAGACGGGCGCAGAAGCGCATCTGAAAGTGCGCAATGCAGTGGCCGTCTTTGTTTGACGGCTATCCAAAAGTTGCTGCGAGGATGACCGGAGTTCACATGATGGTCTAAATGAGAATTAGTACTGCAAAGCCAATAGCACATGTTTAAGGCTCATACCTTGAGTCCTTTGAAGAAGTCAAAAATGGACTCCTCCGTGACATCGTATGGAAGGTTTCCCAGGAAAGCGGTGTACGGTGGTTTGCTGGGCAGTCGGCTAGTATCAATTCCAGCCCCGCGGGCAGCACGTGGAGCCGTGGGGAGCTGGGAGCGGTCAATTACAGGCCGCCGATTTGGAGAGTTGTCCCCAGAGGGCCACACCGGGGAATCTGTGGATCACCGTCATTAAAATACAAAGTGTTACTTTGCACCAGTACAAACGGTGGAGTTGGTCATTTTTTTATTCTGTTATTAGTTTCAGTTCTTAAATATGTTTATTGAATACAGTTGCTGCTGCTCCTTTTGTTATTTTAGTAGTCTGAATGTAATATGTTAATATTCCAACAACATAATGCCAGGTACGTTAACTGTGGAGTTTCTCCCTGTACGTTTGCATCCAACAACCAGCTCCAGTGTCAGCTGGCAGCTACCGGACCAGATCTGCATCATTGCGAGTACTATGCACCGCAAAATACTGTTTTATAAGCAAATAATGTCAGAGCTAAAATCCTTGCTGTTCGAGTTGAGAAAGTATTAATTGCCATTTTGTCACCAAATATTTTCAGCTACAAATACATTATAAAACCATGCAAAAGGAAATGTCCCAACTGTACAGATTCAATGCAGTGTGGAAGAAAACACTCACCATCTGTTTCATAGTCCTCGGTGGCATCAGCCCAGCTGACGGGAGCCCTGACCATGGCAGGGGCTGGTGCGCCCCCCTCTGCCAGGAAGTCATTGAGACTCACCGTCTTACCCTTGGTCTTCAGCTTTTTCTTGCCTAAAAGGTGCCACAGGTGGGTACAATTAGATTCCAGCAATACACAAATAAACTAAGGGTTTCTTACAGCAAGGACCACACACACAATAATGTATTGTCAGAAATGTCATACAATTCCAAAAACATGTTATGGTAATGGATAGAATAAGCTATCCCGTGTGAATAAAAATATACAATGTATTGTATGCAATATTCATCAAGTCTTTCACCCCGTTCAAACACCATTTCCAAAAAGGTTAGTTGTAAATGGATAGATCTACATTCAACACTATTAACACTGTTGAACTTCTTTCGCATCATACTAGATAAGTGCTAATTGAAAGTACAGGGGAAGGACAACAAACAACACACAAAAATAAAGCAAAGGGCTATTTATAAAAAAAATAAAAATATGACCCAAAAATTATTGTACATTTTTATTGTGAATCCCAGGACAGTATGCCGTCATGGAACAGCACATTGTCAGTGCGCTAATTTTACCAAATAAAATATTTACCCTACAGACAGCTCCTTGATATTTTCTTTTTACTTAAAATTTTTAGCTAATATTGTGCAAACCCTGGGTGAGTTTGTCAACTCATACAAACATTGTGAGATCTCACTAGTAAAACAAAGAACTCCTAATTGTTAATCTTCTCTAATACATCTCTAAAGCAATCTTTGTCCCACCATGAACCAGATTTGACTGTTTCCTCTATCATATGCATAATATGTAATTCCTGCATTTGAATGGAGGAATGTGGCAAGGTGAACCATGTTCGAGCTCTCCATTGAATTGAGGGTTACAACCAATTTACAACATAATGGATAGTTTGGGAAGCTAAGCATTAAAATAATAATTTAAACCCATGGGAATACGTGAACAAAGATGGCGATTAGACATCCCTGCATCACGCCGATTTTTGAAATTTTATTTGGCACAATGTTCTTAAATAACAATTTCCAAAATGAAAGCAATATGTAATATATGGTAGCATCTGGGCGTAATAATGGGGATGACTCGTATATAACAAGTGATTATGGCCAGTCCTTTATACCACTGCTGGATGAAGACCTTCACCCTTCGCCAGTCATGAGGATCGACTGCACCATACTTCACCACGTTGGTTATTATGAGTTGATAAAGAGGGGGAGCCATGGACCACGTTGAGCTATCACTCACTACTCAAGATAGCCGTGGCCAGAAATCCAACTCCGGTGGCCGGACACATAGCAAAAACCACCAACCGCTGCACCAAGGAGCAACCCTAACAGCTCGTGTCTAAATTCATCATTCATAAAGCAACCCATTGCTGAATGAAAACTTCCCCAAGCCAGCACCATCTCTTATAAGCCTGCCATGTAATAGTCCACTCACACCTGCACACTAGATTTTATATCACTCCGTCTCCTCAATTGAAACCGTCTTGAATGCATTCAATTCCTTAGCTGCCACTACATCACTTTTATTGACCACAAGCCATATTCTTCTTACGAAATTTAACGTTCAAGCCCACTAAAGTTTGAATGGCATTAACTTGTTCATGTTCCCTCATACATGTGTTCCTGTCTCCGTAGAATTCCAAGAATGCAGACCTCTATGCTTGTATGCACATTTCACCCAAATAGTTTTGTCAATTACTATGTTTGAAGCCATGCCATATGAAATGGTACAGATTAAAAACGTGAATTTTAGACATGTTACTTTTGACTATCTAGTGCAACTTTTCAAATGCACAAGCTGCTCATCTCTTGATTTCACTATTTTACTTTTTATCCACAAATCTGTCCTAGGTTGTCTCTACGGCAGATACTGTATTTCCAATTGTTTAGCGAACTTAGTGTAAATGACCTTTGATTCAGCCTTTGTTTCAATTTATTTTTTTCCAAAATTTCCTTCAGTTAATTCCCACTGAATGTTATGACCATGTCAGAAAATATCAGAGGGTTAATGTTTTCTGCATTTATGTTAATGCATATTTCACCAATCCAGTTTTTTTTACTATCTTGTCACGATGATTAATTGTATCCACTCCAATTTGAATGTGTATTTTGGTACTTCATGAAATCTTAGTGGCACTTCAATTTTTGTTAAATGTTTTTTGTTATTTGGCTTTGTTTGCGAGAGCTTGGACAACGGCATAAACTTTAATAAAACACATACTTTATTCTTATCCTGTTTAAAATTAATGATCAGCAGCCATAAAGGAGATGGTAACATGGCCATGGGGAGTAGTACGTTTCCCACATGCTCCAGAGGATTCACAGTTTGAATTCAGCGACTGTCCTGGTTATTACTGCAGGAATATAAACCAACATATGGACGTTGTCTGCTTCAGTGTATGTCAATCAGAATGTATTTATATTGGAATCTGATTAGCTATAAAGCTCCTTCCTGAAACAAAATTCGCAAAGATTATGTAATTGTGTGCTGTCATGGTCCACATTTTGAAGGCTCCATTCGTAATGAGGCTTCCCTCAGTACACAAGAAAAATGCGCATCCCCATAGTGCTGGTTAGGATTGTCGTGCACGACCGAGTTACATATATTGCAAATATACAGGTACTTACAAATGTACGGACCAGCGGTGGATTTTAAAAATGTTTAATTATAAGGCTATTCATGAGGTGGAAGGAAAATGAGCCGTCCACTGGAAATGAGAATGACAATTATTCATATTTTTTTCACTTTGGCTCGTTATGTTTAGGATGCTGGTCAATACCAAGTGTATGGGGTTAATATGAACGGTCTGCATTTTAAACCATGATCTAGCCACTGCTGGAAGCACGCATCCACGACCACGTGGCATTACTATCCAGAAATGCAAAACTCAATCGAGATCTTACGCTCGCCACTCCGTCGTAGGTTTCGATCACTGGCCATCATCCCTTCTCAAGGCATCCTGCCCAAGCCCATTTTAAAGTCAATATAATCAGAAACGGATTGCAAAATGAAACAAAAGCAGACAAGCGCGCAAAACACGGAGGTTGAATGCTTGGAAGCACACTCAATCAGCACTCATGGGTCAACGTGTATCGTCCAGTGTGTAAAATTTAATCAGGATTAACAAATGCTAAAAACGTAGGTCCAAAGGCCCATGGGCTGATTCACGAAAAATACCGTCGGGAAATCTAGTCTCATTGTATAAACATGACGCTCAACTGTGGGTCGTTAAGCCCACTCAATTCACCCTTTGTACCATCTGGTATGTACTCCCGAGTTTGACTTCTCCATTCGCAGTACAAAAATCGACGTTGACACGCACGATACAAAACATATCGTGAGCTACAACAATAGACGTTTAAACCTAAATGCATACGCCCCAAAGACCAGCTTGCGGCTTGCTGCAGTGAACACGCGTTCACCATAGGAGGGCCATGCGTCTAGGCCCTCTAAACTAGCGGTCGCTGTAGGGACATCCTGCGAGCAGCTTGCAGCCCCGAAATAATTCCCGGGGACTGCAGCGGGTCGCCACTACCATCACCGCCCTTCCCTCCTCGTTATTTCTGCTCTACCGAGGGCCTTTAGCCACGCAAGGGAACCATGGGGCAGGCGGGCGGGCAGGGCGGGGGAGGGAACGAAAGACCATGTGGGTGAGGCCTGGGGCCTGTGCGGCCGAGCCATTACATTCCCCGCAGCGCATCGGCGACGGCGCCATCCCATTGGTTGCCGCCGCTCACGGCGAGGGGGCGCGCAGCCAATCGGGTGAGCGGGAGCGCGGCGAGGAACCAATCACGAGCGCGGATCCGCGGCGACGGCGTCTTATCCGCGCTACGGAATACGATCGCGAGGGCGGGCGGGTTAACGCGGCGTTCGTTCGCGTTCACGGAGAATGGAGGCGGGTGTTGGTAGTGGTGGTGGGGGGGGGTGGAAGAGGTTTGAGGCAGCGTAGGGCGAGGGAAGGAAAAAGAAGCCGACGCGATAAATGCCCGAGCGGACTAGCGACATTTAAAAGTCTTGACGCAACTCTCTCCCCTCCCCCCCCAAAAAAAAACGATATCGCGAGCGGTAACACGAACGCTCGCAGACATTGAAGCCCACACGCCGCCCCGGTGGTTGTTTCTCTCTCTCTCATCACAAGAACTGCGCGGTTGCCGTTACACACCGCAGCCTTCCCCACCTGCAGCGGCCATTCCGAAGTCACGTGAGGACGAGGAGCCAATCGGACGTCGGGCGGCTCCCGGGACCGAGTGATGCGCGCGCGCGGTTGGGGTGGGGGGGGGGCTCGGTGGGGGGTGTGGGCGGGGCGTGCGCACGTGACGGGTGACGTCATGGCCTACCGCGGGCTTCTATTGGGAGTCCGGTTGCCACCGGAAGAGGAGGATCCCCATCCGCGTCAATGGGAGGTGCCCGCGTCCCGTATTCTCTGGATTAGGAGGCACTGCCGTAGGGTGAAGGTGCAGCCCTACAATTGCCTGCTCACGGACACTGTTGGCGGAAGGGCTGAGGATCCCACGTCCCGTATTCTCTGGATTAAGAGGCACTGCCATAGGATAGGAGCGCAGCCCCGCAATTGCCTGCTCACGGACACTGCTGGCGGAAAGGCCGAGAATCTCGCGTCCCGTATTCTCTGGATTAAGAGGCACTGCGAGAGGGTAAAGGTGCAGCCCTGCAATTGCTTGCTCACGGACACTGTTGGCGGAAGGGCCAAGGATCTCGCGTCCCGTATTCTCTAATTTACGAGGCACTGAAATAGAATAGAGGTGCAGCCCCGCAATTGCTAAACTAACGAAACTAAACTTTTTATTTTACCAGGTAAGGCCCACTGATCTGTATAGCTCTTTTTCAGAGACGACCTGGCCATCAAAAATGATATCTCAACGCGTGATGTTGATTTTAAATATGGAGAGAAAAACCGAAAGATTCGGAAAAAAAATTAACCCGTAAAAACAAAGTGTTTCACTATAAATCCTTTATATGCGTGGCGGCTAGAGTCCTCTCGTCCTCTGGCTTGAGATGGCTGCCACCTATGGGTCAGATGATTGCCTGCCACCATTAAGCAATTGGTAATTAAATATAATTTATTTTTTCCTAAAAAGTGTAAAGTGATGGAAAAAAAATTTCACGAAAATAAATTGTCACGCACAACGAGTCTGTGTGCAAAATGTCAGCTCGATTGGATCACGGGAAGTGGGTTAAGAAACGACCGAAAGATTTGCACGGTCGTAAGCACGCAAGCAAGCAAGCAAGTGAACTTATTATAAAGGATTTAAAAATCCACGCGACCATGGTGGGAGAGAGAGACACGCTAACTCCAAATATACAGCAGGCGTCAGGGTCGGGCACGAACCCACGACCTCCTGTGTGCCAGGCGAGGTATAGTTAACATCTCATACCCACCGTGATGATGATGAGAGAGAGAGAGAGACACGCTAACTCCAAATATACAGCAGCCGTCAGGGTCGAGATCGGACCCACGACCTCCTGTGTACCAGACGAGGTAGTTGACATCTCATACCCACCATGATGATGATGAGAGAGACACGCAAATTCCAAATATATAGAAGGCGTCAGGGTCGGGCACGAACCCACGACCTCCTGTGTGCCAGGCGAGATAGTTAACATCTCATACCCACCGTGATGATGATGATGAGAGAGAGAGACACGCTAACTCCAAATACACAGCAGGCGTCAGGGTCGGGATCAGACCCACGACCTCCTGTGTGCCAGGCGAGGTAGTTAACATCTCATACCTACCGTGATGATGATGATGATGAGAGAGAGAGACACGCTAACTTTACCGAAAGAACCAAAGAGTAATTCCTGCAGTCACGAAAGTTCTAATCAAGTTTTTTTTCTCTAGGGTATTTGGCCTACTCTTCCACGCTGCTGGTTGGATGTGGGAGTATATAGTACATGCAGTGGAACACAATCCCTCTGAAGACCTTGCCTCATATACAATGGAATTGAGAGGCTATATGGCATGTGGCACCCCAGCAGGGAACTTACTACAGTGATGATAATAGCTAACAAGCCCTGCAAGCTCGTGGTTGTGACATGGGTTGTGTTCAGCGGACAGCCACGCGGCTGTCATTTAAGGGAGCTCAATGGCAATTAAGGAAGTTGAAGGGTAGATAAAAGGGGTGGAAGGGAAGTTTAGAGTCAGTTAACCCTGGAGAAGAAGAGAGCCACTCCGTTGTGAAAGGTGTATAATAGGTTTCGATTTAAATCTTTCGTGACTGCAGGGATTCATCTTCTTGGTTCTTTCGGTAATGTCACGTAGAAGGGAAATAATAAAAGAATACAAATAAAACATAATCAAATGGAAATTATAAAATAATACAAATAAAACATAATAAATCACATAATAAAATACAATTTTATTTTATTATGTTTTATTCGTATTATTTTCCTTCTACGTGACTTTACCGAAATAACCAAGAAGATGTATAATAGGTGTCACGGTGAAAGTAGACACGCTTCCGATTGTTCCGAGTGTACAACAGTCTATTTTATAATGTTATGACATATTTTCACCCATATTCTTGGTTATTTCGGTAAAGTCACGTAGAAGGGAAATAATGAAAATAAAACAAAAGAAAAATTTCACGACGTTTCGGCCAAAACGCAAGCAGCCGTCCTCAGGTGAAGAACAGAGCTGTCGGAAAGACAGCGTCCTAATTTAGGACGCTGTTTTATTTTTGTTCTTTTATTATTTCCTATCTACGTGACTTTACCGAAATAACAATGAATATGAATCCCTGCAGTCACGAAAGCTTTTTATCGAAATCTTTTCACCCACTTGGGTCCAAAAGTACAACATTGGCGGAGTTTTCTCCAGCTGTTTACACATCGTAAAACATTCGGCGACATTACATATAAACCCACCAAGATTCACGCCCCAAACGTTGTAGCCCGGTGCCAATTAAACTTAAAAAGTACAAGCCGGGTCTCTCTATCTTTTTGCTTGAGAATATCTGGGAATGCGCCTCTTCTAATGGGGACAATGCGGCCAATGTTCGTTGGGCGGTGACCCCGTGGCCCCGTGTGTGTGCCCTGCGCCCCGCCGTGTTAACACCGAGGGTCTTGCTTGCTGCAAGTGGAGTAAGTGTGCGCTTCCCTTCGAAGGAAGGTTTTACCATACGCAAGAAGAGAAGATTGCAGTCACCAATGCCAAAAGGGAGGGCACGTGTTATTTATCACAGAATCAAAATATTTATACTGGAGAAATCCGATGAGCTATAATGCTCTTTCTCCACAGATGTCCAGATCTCTTATAAAACCAGCAGCTTCACAAGAGGCGAATAATGACTTTAACTTGCGTGTTGTGCCTCGTTAAACCCTAAACGCATTCATGCAAAATAAGCATTATTTATTGTATCAGAATTGAAACTAAAATCTATGTTTTAAGTTGTACATACTGTCGGTGATTGACCGTGGTTGTAGCCACTGTATGTATATGCTGAACTTCTTTCGGAGGTGCGGGGGAAAGACAACAAACTAAACACAAACAAAAACACAGTTTTGTTGCGGATGGAATTATGTTCAGGAGTTCAATGGAGATGTGGAAGTCTCCTAGCCACGACACGGGGGCTTCATGAGAGAGGAGAGTTCGTGGAGCTTTACCATTCCTCCTCTGTTGACGGAACACAGATCCCCCACATTGGTTACATACTCTTAGATTTTTTTCTGAGATGCCGCGATAACAAGGTAATACCCATCGCTTTCACACTCACATCTGCTGCTGTGTCCTCACCGAATTCTAAACTTGTTACAGCAGCTCTATTGCCCATTTTAGCATTTGTTTCTTGCTGTGGTTGTCCCACATGATGACGGACACTTGTGTTGCGCCCGAAACGTCGTGATTTATTTTTTTATTTCTATTATTATTCCTATTATTTGTATTATTTATTATTTATTATTTATTTTTACCTCCGTGACTTTACCGAAAAAACCTAAGAGTATGAATCATTGCAGTCACGAAAGCTTCAAATCTAGAACCCACATTGGTTTTTCCACGGTCCAGAGTTGGGTTGCGTGGCCACAATTGCACTGAGACACTGCCCACTGCAGGTGGCACCATCGCACATTCGGAGCAGTCCTTTTCCATGCCCATGGTGAATTCAAGGCAGACATCTGCCCCGACCTGAGTGCCAAAATGAGCAGGGAGGCAGAGTCATCGCCCCTGCATTCTCCTGCAAGGGCAGTGGCCACGCCATTTATCGTTTAGAGTCGCCACGACATATTTTTTCAAGATACGCTACAATGTAAAAATGTCACCGTTTTGACGATTAACGCGATAATTAATTGTTTTCACGTAGCGCTGCAAAAGTATTCGAACTTTGACCGTGGCACACAGTGGGAAGGGCGGTAGAGTCAACGATATTTACGTATGTATGGAAAATAAGAGGAAAATTTACGGAAAAACTGGAGCAAACGGCCAGGAAAGTTGAACATCGAGAGGAAGGGGCTTACATCAGGACCTCGACTCTGTATGGAGGAGCAGCAATCTGTTTTCACAGGGAGCTGATCAAGATGTCAGCCGCGGTTAGTCCACCCAGGGGCGTTTGGTGGCGCCGCCCCACCAATCAGCTGGAGATGGGAAATTATTTTTGTAAAAAAAAAATTCCCAAAAAAAATTGTATTTTAAAACGAAAACTAAGATTTCATGATTCTTCCAACGTGAATTGGCCTCGTGAAGATAACGTTTAAAGTTGTTCGTATTAGAAACCGCTGCAACATAATGATTTGTGCCTCGGGGGAGGTCTCGGGGCGTCGGTGAAGGTGTCCGAGTGAGAGAGTTCCCCTGCTTCGTTGTGATGAGCAGCTTCGCATTGGGGCCACGCCGTTAGAGACCCATTCAGGGCGATGGGAAAAGGCGACCATGGCTGTAGTGACGATGTCACAACGCGAGGTGGCACTGTGCAAACATAGCAAGGTCCACAGCCGACACGATTTGTTTCATTGCACTTAATCGTGTAGGTGGGTACGTGGTTGTTGTTATTGGACAATACGCAGTGTCTTGGTTGCCTTGGCTCATTTGTTGAGTCGTGTCGACAGATCTTTAATTGTTCTTGAGGCTTTTGGCAGTGTCAAAGCGATTATGTAGTGTAGACTTCAGGGTCATGGGGGCAGCATTTGAGTGCTTTGTTTTGCCTACTTCAGCAACTGTTTTTGCTGTGGTTGTCCCACCTGATGACGGACGCTTGTGTTGCGTCCGAAACGTCGTGATTTATTTTAATTTTTTACCTACGTGACTTTTCAGTCAC